CCCTCTGGCAGTGGGAAGCCTGTCTCTCCATCCCTAGTCCCCAGTCCCTCTCCAGCTCTCCTGGAGCCCCTTTAGGCATTGGGAGCGGCTCTCAGGTCTCCCAAAGCCCTTGTTCCCACCTCAATGAAGGATTGTCTTCCATCACAACATCCAACCTGTCAGTGGGGTGCAAGGGCAGCAGATCCTCCTCCTCAGCTCAGCCTGTGTTCCCCTGCAGCCCAGACAACCGACTCACCCACAGGCTTTCATCTCCTCCCTGGGCTGAGGAGATCAGTTCCAACTACACCTGCAAAATTCAAGCTGCCTCGTGCCACCCTTGCCAGTCACCAACCCCCTCCCACCCTCACCCCGTGGGTTTTAGGGCTCTGAGAAGATGAGGCCCAAGCACTTGTGGCACTGACCCCTCTCATGTGTCTCCCAGCTCGCTCTGAAACATGAGCACCCCTTTAACCTGCTTTTACTTATTTATTTCAACAGGAAAGAAGAGAGAGAAAAACATCCCTGGCCAGCCTGTGCCAGTGATTAGGGGCAGGAAATATTTGGCAGGAGCAGCTTTTTAAATCAGCTTTTTACTCCGGCCTTCTCTTCTCCCCCTGCCTAAAAGAAAGGACTGCAGGTTGTGCTGCTGTGGGAGCCTCAGGGGCTGGATGGGCTGAGGCTCCACTGGTCCCACATTCCCACCAGGCAGGAGAACACAGGGAGAGCAAGGCAGCACCTTGACCAAGAGGAATTCTGTCCCAAGGGATCTTTTTTGACAAATACTAGTTCAATTAAAGCCTTTCACACTGCCAAGAATTATATCCCGTTCTTCAGCATCAAATCTTGCCCACGTGTCTGCAGCTTATGAAAACAAGAAGCCATGGGATTATAAGAAAGGCTCATTTAATAGGTTTTCTAAAGATTTTGTTATCAAGAACATTAGTAACAAGAAGATCCCCAGATCATGAGCATCAGTAATTTCTCCAGGTTCCATCTTTGCTTCCTGATGCACCTCCCATGGATCACCCAGGGAAGCCAGAGCCCCATTTGTATCACTAGCAAAACTCTCATCATATTCTTGCAGGTCCAGCCCTTTAATGGCTTTTTTCATCTTCTTCCCTAGAGCTTTTGGCTGACCTGGAGCCTTTCACCCCTCCACCACGGGCCAGCCTGCTGCTTAAATCCTCCAGCTCCTCCTCGTGCCCCAGGTCACCAGTGCCAGCTCTTGAGCTCCTCACACCTTCCCCACAGGCTCTGCACACCCCCAGCCTGACACTGGGTGTGCCATGACCCCCAAAAAACACCCCTGAGCACAAAAACAGCCATCCCAAAGCACACACACCTGCCCACACCCCACATCTCCATGGAACAGAAGCCTTCATTCCACACACCAAGGTATTCCCAGCTTGCTCCACATCAGGTATCTCCTTTTTATCTTTTAATCCTGAAATCATAACCTGCCATTCCTACAGTGCTCTGACATCTGGGATAGATAAGCTGAGCCTAACATCTATTTCTTACTGAGATCAGCCCCTGATAACCACAGCCTGTGGTGATCACCACTGACAAAAAAATATCAGTAACTAAAGACAGTATAAACCTCCAAATGTAGAATTATAATCCTCCAAATGTAGAATTATAACCCTCCAAATGTAGAATTATAGAATCACAGAATCATTCAGGTTGGAAAAGACCTCTAAGACTGAGTCAAGTTGCTGGCAGAAGGTGAGAGCTGTGCCATCCCTGGGCACCATGTGTTGATATCTCCCAGGTCCAGTGTCCCAATTCCCTGGGGCTGGAGCCACCCCCTCTCTCACTCCAGTGAGAATTGGAGAGACCAGCCCTCCACTGACTCATCCTGGCCTCAAGGGATCTCATTTTTCCCCTAGAATGGATCCAGAAATAAACAATAATGGTGCTACCAAAGGTTTGAGGAGCCTCAGGCACAAGAACCAAGAACCATCACTCTGCACCAGGGCTGCTCAGGGTTACAGGGACTGTCCCTCCCTGTCCACAGGATTCTTTTCAGCCAGCCCCAAAGATCCTCAAAACTGACCAAATTCAAGTTAATCCTTTAGGGTCCCTCTATAAACACCCCCCAAAGGTCACACAGTGAGAAGAGGAGCACCCAGAAAAGGGGATGGTGTGAAGGATCATGGAAAGGGTCCAACTGAGGTGACATCCATGCCTGGCATTCCCACCAGGAGCCATCTGCTGGCCTCCCCCCTCCAGGCTGGGAGTGCCAATATCCCTCATAAATTTTATTTCCCCAGTTGGAGCAGTTCCCTTCACTCCAAAGCTTCCAGCTCCACACACAAATGGTGTTTAACAAGGAGCTGCTGATGCCTGTTGATATTTCACCTCCAAGCAGCACGTGGCAAAAAGGGCTTTGATTTTGGAGCCCTGAAGGAGCCAAGTTCCCCTCCCCACAGAGGCTCTTTCCTGGCCACCACGAGGAGGTTGTGAGCACAGAAAGGTGACCCCATGTGCCAGTGTGGGGGTCAGGAGGAGACATGAAGCCAGCTGGGAAGAGGCAGACGGGTGTTCCAGCTCTCCTAGTAAACCACAGGCATTTCTAGGATTGGCCCAGAGATGCCATTTCTTTGCTTCATTTGGGAGAAACCCTTAAGAAATTGCTTTTTTCTCCCCTCCAATCTCCAAGCCATGTTGTTCTTCCCGCTGCACCATCCCCAAACACAGCCCAGCCTCACATCCCACCACCCTGAGCCCCTCCAAACCCACCTGCCAAAGCCAGGAGACCACTTGCAAGCCCAGGGGGTGAAAGGCTTTCAAGACATGTACTCAAACCCTGCACATCAAGGCAGCACCATCACACAGCTCCCCAACAGCAGGGTGGCAAAGAGCTGCCCCGATCTCAGGGAGCTTTTCATCTTTAAAAGGCGTGAAGGAGAACAAAAGGCAGCGATCAGCACCCGGCACACGCGGCTGGAACGGGGCTGGGGGAACTGCAGCTCCCGGGCTTGCAGGCCAGCACAGCATCCCTGACATCCCTCTGAAACTCCTTATCCCTGAAAGTCAGAGAATCCCAGAATCAACCGGGTTGGGAAAGACCTCTGAGATCATGGAGTCCAACCTGTGACCCAACCCCACCTTGTCACCCAGACCATGGCACTGATGCCCCATCCAGGCTCTGCTCAAACCCCTCCAGGGACGGGGACTCCACCCCCTCCCTGGGCAGCCCATTCCAAGGGCTGATCCCTCTCTCTGCAAACAACTTCTGCCCAATGGCCAACCTAAACCTGCCCTGGGGCAGCTCAAGGCTGTGTCCTCTTGTCCTGCTGCTGGTTCCTGGCAGCAGAGCCTGACCCCCCCCGGCTCCCCCCTCCTGTCAGGGAGTTGCAGAGAGTGAGAAGGTCTCCCCTGAGCCTCCTCCTGTCCAGGCTGAGCCCCCCCAGCTCCCTCAGCNCTCCCCTGAGCCTCCTCCTGTCCAGGCTGAGCCCCCCCAGCTCCCTCAGCCTCTCCTCACAGCACTTGTGCTCCACACCCTTCCCCAGCCTCGTTGCCCTTCTCTGGACCTGCTCCAGCCCCTCCATGTCCTTCCTGAGCTGAGGGGCCAGAGCTGGGCACAGTAAGTTGTAGGTTTTGGGAGCAGTTGGATTCATGGGCAGCACCTGGGGCTGATCTGTAAAGAAAATCCCTGGGCTGAGGGACACAGAGGGTTACAGAGCATGAAGGGATGGTCTGGAAAACATTCCACAGGCTGGTGGGATGTGCTCTGAGTAGGGGGAGCCCCAACCACCCTTGGGGGTGCAAGTGCACAACCACCCTCCCCAGCACCTCTCCCTGGTGGCAGAAACCACTGCAGGGAGGGCTGGTGACAGCACAGGGCCCTGTGCCAGGCTGCTCACCCACCCCAAGGCGCAGGGGATGAGGTTGTGCTGCCCTGAGAGGAGCAGAGAAGATGCTAAAATTGTCTGCACCCACCTCAGCCATTTGTGAGCACTGACAAGTCACAGATCGATTCCTTAGCAGGATTAAAGAAGAAGAATATTTCTGCTAAATATTCAGGCAGCAGGGTGGGCCTGGCTGCCAAGAGATCCTGCCAAGAGCAAAACCCCTGCCCAGCTCTGCCCACTCAGAGACAGGTGATGGCTCAGCACAGAGCTTTCTTGCATCTAAAAAATACAGATATCTGTGTGTCCAGCTCAGGGGGCCCAGCACAGGAAAGACTTGGAGCTGCTGGTTTAAGGTCCTATTTAGATCATTCAGCTCTGGATAACTGATGGCAGGAAAAGAGCCTTTGTGTGACTTCCACGCTTCAGACAGGAACAAGGGGGGCTCCAGGGCCAGAAGCAGCTTTGGGCCAAAGTCCCCCAGGGAGACCCTTTGGGTGGAGCTGAGTGTGGGGGAGGGTTGGGGACAACTCCCTCTGAGGTCCCTCTCCTGCTCTGGGCCTCAGTTTCCCTTTTCATTTGGTCCTGCCAGCAACAACCAGCAGCATGGTCAGATGGGTTGGTGATGGTGGGAAGGACGTGGAGCTGTTGGAGCAAATCCAGAGGAAGCCACAAAGATGCTCCAAGGGGTGGAGCCCCTCTGGAGCCAGGCTGGGAGAGCTGGGGGGGGTTCACCTGGAGAAGAGAAGGATCCAGGAAGAGCTGAAAGCCCCTTCCAGGGCCTGAGGGGGCTCCAGGAGAGCTGGAGAGGGACTGGGGACAAGGGATAGAGGGACTGGACACAGGGAATGGCTTCCCACTGCCAGAGGGCAGGGTTGGATGGGACACTGGGGAGAAATCCTTCCTTGAGAGGGTGGGCAGGCCCTGGCACAGGTTGCCCAGAGAAGCTGTGGCTGCCCCTGGATCCCTGGAAGTGTCCAAGGCCAGGTTGGACAGGGCTTGGAGCAACCTGGGCTAGTGGGAGGTGTCCCTGCCCGGGGTGAGGGGTTGTAACAAGATGATCTTTAAGGTCCTTTCCAACCCAAACCATTCCATGCCATACATCCAATCTGCACAGTCCCTGGCAGCATCTTTGGGGATCTGTAGCATTTCTGGGGTGAGTGGATTTCAATAAAAACCATCATAAAGAGACAGGGCCTCTCTTTCCATCTCCATCCCAGCAGCACATCAGAAGGAGCAGAACATTTATTTTTAAACCCTAGAGCTCAG